GAACAAATAAATAAATTAACCTCATTCGAAGATGTTGTAGATGGAAAGCGATGTGTTGTTAGCTACAAACTATGTTTAACAATGATTGACAACAAAGTATGCAATGCATTGACAGAGACAACATCTGCAATGCGTTGTTACCTATGTCGCAGCACATCAAAAGATTTCAACAACATAGACAAAATTTCGAAGCAGCCGATTATTGAAGATCATTTGAAATTCAGTCTATCTACTTTGCACTGTTGGATTCGGTGCTTTAAATTTTTGTTACACTTATCGTATAAATTGGGTATTTGTAAATGGCAGGCTCGTACAGAAGAGGAAAAAAAATCTGTCAATGGAAGAAAAGAGCACATTAAAATTGAATTTAAAAAATCATTGGGGTTAAACGTGGATAAACCGAAAGCCGGAAGTGGAACCACAAATGACGGGAACACCGCTCGACGTTTTTTTGAGGAATATCAGAAGTCTTCTGCCATAACTGGAGTCGATGCAGAAATAATACATCATTTTTATAACATACTGCAAACAATATCATGTGGTTATGCTATTTGTATACAAAGTTTTCGACTGTATGCATTACAATTAGCAAAACAAATCGTTTGCAAGTATCCCTGGTACAACATGCCCACGTTGATTCATAAACTTTTGATACATGGCCCAGAAATAATAGATAGTTCTTTACTTCCTATTGGTCAAATGTCGGAAGATGCCCAAGAGTCGTGTAATAAGTTCATAAAAATTTATAGAAGAGATTTTTCGAGACAAAATTTTCGAAAGAAAACAATGGAAGACGTATTCCTCAGATTTTTTATTGCATCTGACCCGTATGTTTCTAGTTGCCGAAAACTTCTCGCTAAATCACTGAAATCGTTATCTCCAGAAGTTCTCTCATTATTATCATCTTCAAAAGAATCAAGAAATAAAGATGAAGAAATTGAGAGTAGTAGCGCTTCTGAGCTAAGCACAGATGCTACAGAATCTGATGATGAAGATGATAATTTTTTATTTTAATATAACTGTATTTTGTAAAATTATAATAATTATTCACATATAAATAAAACAAGATTTTTTTGTATTTCTTACCGATATTACTGAAGGGTGGTTATTAAGGGATAAAGCGGTAATCTAGTTCGAAACTTGAAATGGAATTTATTATTATACACCTAAAAAACTATAAAAATGATATTAATCATGAT